GCTACATCATGGGGACCATTTTCCAGAAAAAAGCACTGACTTGTGGGGACCCAATGCACTTTATGGGGACCAACATCACCCATGGTTACAGATGATGATTTTAGGTCAGGAATAAGTTCTGATCCAAGGTGTGATTTAGGGTCCAGTATGTACTGGGGTGGTTATGCACTTTCAAGATTAAAGAAAAATCGAGTCAGAGTGTCTGTTTCATTAACGGTTGCCATCCTAATAGAGCAAGTGCACCCTTAGCTTTTTTTTAAAAATACGTCTAACAGTTTTCTCTTCCTGTCCCAGTTTGTGCTGCTACCATCTGTTCCCTCAGTAATGTTCTGTTCCAGTTCAATTAAGTCCTGCTGAAATGCATTAATGTAATCCTGTTCTGCAGCCACAATGTGAGAGGTATATCACTGACAAAACGTTCAAATTTGAATTCTACCATTGTCCCACCATCTAGCAAGAGACACAAAATCTTTTTTAAAAGTGGAAAAACTCAACATACTGTAAGCTCTTTGAGTCAGATGGACGTTAAAATGCCAGTTATGACAGCAATCTGACTGTATTTTCATTTTTCATTTAATGTTTATTATGACCCCATTTATTTATTTATTTAGTCAGTGATTTTTGGTCAACTGTAGCACAAAAACGGCTGCGCCAATCAACATGAAATTTGGCAGGGAATGTAGATAAGTCTGACCTACACTGCACCAGCCAACGGTTTTACAATAGACCCCATATTTGAGGAGGGGGCTCCTTTCAAAGTGGGGGTGTCTGGACATGCAAAAATGCTTATAACTCAGAAACTGTTCAGCATAGAAGCTTCAGATTTCTTTTGTTGTTTAGCTCTGATGAAGCTCTATCCATCAGGCCCACCAATCAGTGCAGATGATCAAAAAACTCACTGGAGATATAGAAGCTTTGGTGAATCTGTTATTGTAACTTTGGTTTATGTAAATCCTGTCCAGCCTGGCTGCTTTTATACTGTCCCCCGTCACACTGACCCAGGTGTCGATCAGCTCCACAAGATCATTTTCCTGTGATAAACAGAGAACTGATGGTGGAAAAGGTTCCCATTTATCCTTGTCAGGTGAAGCATCAATGGTGCAGTTCCAGTCCCCACCTAGCACAATATCTGAGCTATGAATAAATCTTTTCAGTTTGTTGTTCAAATAACTGGGTGCAAATTGACAAAAACAAAAGGTAAGTTTCTAATACAGGTCCTTCTCAAAAAATTAGCATATTGTGATAAAGTTCATTATTTTCTGTAATGTACTGATAAACATTAAACT